AAGAGAGAGAGAAAAGGAGGATTTTTTGAGAGATAGTGGCATCTAAGATAGTGAGACTGAGAGGAAAAAAGAGACATCTACTAAAAAGATATTTTTAAGAGGAGAGGCTTGTAAGGGAAAGAGTCTTCTAAGAGAGGATTTTAGGCTACTAAAGTATTGTTGTTAGGAATGACAAATAGTGCTTCTAAATTAGAGAGATGTAGAGAGAGAGAGGCTCTAAGAGAGGGCAAGCCTTCTAAGGGAGTGAGAAGTTTTAAGTTAGTGCTATAAATACTTCTAAGAGAGAAAGTGGGAAAGAGAGGCTACTAAAAGAGAGATTATATGCTTATAAAAGAGAAAGAAAACGCTTCTAAGAGAGGAATAAGGCTTATAAGAAACATTTCTTGTGAAAAGAGAGGATGTGAGAAGCTTCTAGGAGAGATAGAGATGTTTTTAAGAAAAAGTGATGCTTCAAAGAGAGTAAGTTGCTTTTAAGAGAGAGAGAGATGCTTCTATGATTGAGAAAAGACTTTAAGAAAGAGAGAGAATGCCTAATAAAGAGAGAGGATGTTCAAAGAGCAAGATGCTTTTAAGAGAGATAGTAACTTCCAAGATGGAGGGAGAGGCTTCTAAATAAAAAAGATAAATAGTGAGATTGGGAGAGAGAGGCTTTAAAGAAAGTGGGATAGAGGTAGAGAGAGGCTTATAAAAGAGAGAGGGTAAGAGTGATGCTTCTAAGTGAGAGAGAGACTTCTAAAAGAAAGAAAGTATAAGAGGAAAGCTTGTAAGAACAATGGAGAGAGTTAGAGAGGCTTTTCAAAGAGAGAGGAGGGAGGGTGGTTTTAAAATATAGAAGTGTTTTTATGAAAAGAAAAAAAAAAAGAGATTCAGGACAAAAAGAGAAAGATGCTTCGAAGAGAGCGAAAGAGTGAAAGAGAGGGAGGGAGAAAGATAGGCTTTTGAGAGTAACCCTTTTACATGAGAAATGCTTTAGAGAGAGATATATTTCTTTGAGAGAGAGAGACCTCTTAGATAGCAATAGGGCCCTTTTATGATTAAGAGAGGAGGGCTTATCCGAGGGAAAGAGGCTTCTCAGAGAGTGAAAGAGACTTTTGAAAGATGGGATAGTGATAAAGAGAGTTTATGAAAGAGATAGACTAATAAGATGGAGAAAAGATTCTTATATAGTCAAAAAGAGAAATTGTAGAAAAGCATAAAAGATAATGAGCCTTCTAAGAGAGAGTAATAGAGAAACATAAAGAGAGAGAAGCTCTTAAGAGATATGGTTATGAGAGAGAGAGAGAGGCTTCTAGATAAGAGAGAATTTTTGGGAAAATAAGGCTTATAAGAGATAGAAAAGTTTTTTAACATAGAGACGCTTATAAACGAGAAATCTAATTTTGTAAGGGAGAGAGAGGCTTCTAAAATACAAAGGTGGAGAACAACATTCATTTTCATTTACTATAAACCTACTAACTATTAATAATAAATGGAATAGCAGAGTCAGTAGTTTATAAAATATATGAAAAAAATGAACAAAAATGGATAGAATAAAAACTAAAATGACAGAAATCTCAAGTGAAAGTGTAGACTTAAATGTGAAGCAGCAATGATAAAATCATTACCCAATATTATTCCATAATTTAAGAATAGATAATATGAGAAACTAATATTAGAACAAAAGGGTAAGCGTTCCCATGTGCACATGAGCAATCATGTCCAAAAAAACATGTAAAAAAGATAACATTGAATAATTAACTTAGGAAAATAAAGAAAATAGTTTATTGGGATCTCTATAATGGAATATGCATTTATTCAATGATGTGATGGATTAAATATGAAGATATATAAAGCAAGTTAATAAAAGGGGACAAAATACACCATTTTTATGATCAAACACGACAAAGAGGATATTGTATTATCTCAAAAGATAATAATGACATTCTACAAAGGTATTTAAAAATAAAAATGGATTATGAAAAGACTATCTACAATGCATGCTATTATTTTATTAGAAAGCTGAAACTTATATTACTGATTACTACTAAATCAAACAAATGTCTAGGACATGAGAACTTATAATATTGGAATTAACCTCAGAACCTAGAGCTAAGGTGAGTCACTACAGAATAGTGACTCGAACCTTATCTAATGAAATGCAATGGGACTTGTATCTCTTACCATGCTAAGGATTTAAGAAAGTCCGACTCTTATGAACTTATGATCCTGCCTAGATAGAACTATCAGTTAAATTTCACCTAACATATTAAAATCATAATGTTCGATCTCCATGAAATGCAAAATAAGGTAGGCTGTTGTTTAATTAAAAATTTGGGGCATACAACTAAGAAGTTCTAAATGGCCTCAGACTATGAATGGTAGATTATTCTATCTAAAACGGATGCAATTATCATTTTTTTTTGTAGGTTATTAATACAATGCATGCTACTTATATATAAAAATTCGTATGATTTGAAATAAAAAAGGCTAAAACGGATGTATGCTAGTTATATATAAAAATTCGAATGAGATAGAACTGCAGCCTAATAAGTCAGATGATCTAATCAGAACCCAAAGACGGAGAGTTACCTAAACAAGGAATGGAAGCAATATGTTATAGACTTGGCCGAACATCATTTACATCCTTCTAATTACTAATCTTTCAATGTTATTTAAAGAACTTTTTATTTTGTGTAAAGTAAAAGAATTTTTCTTAAAGACTAACAAGAACTAACATTCAGGCGACTAAGCAAACATGCAAGTGTCCACCACACGCTAGTTTAGTTTTGTGTAAAATCAAAGAGTTTTAGTATATGTAAATCATGGGGTTTGAAATATCGGGTTATATTATGTTGTCGGTTGTTTTTTTCTAACTAAGAAATTTAATTTTCCGTTCTAGTCAAAGTTATAATCAGATGCATTTTATTTTAATTTTGGAGCTTGAGTTGCAATTAATGGCTTAACAATTACAATTAAAAAAGAAAATGAAATACAACATAAAGTATAAAAAGTAAGAAAATAAGCAAACAACATGTAAGAACATGTAAGAAATATATAATAAAAGGTAAAGAACCTAACCTAATAAGTCTAAGGTTGGTGAACTATATGCAACTTTTGGTGTGTGATAGGTCATGTGAGTAGTCAACCCTATTATTAATTTATTGTTTCAATTTTTAATTTTAAATATGTTTAATTTATATTAAGAGGTGATTTCAATTCAAATATTAATGTTTTGTGATTTTTATTTGACTTTTAAATGGCTGGTAAATAAAATTTTACTTTTTTTATTAATATTATCCCCACTTTATGTATACTATTGGTCGTTATAATATTATGAATTTGAAGGAATTTATTTTGAATTTTTCTGATTTTTATTTAATTATTAATGAATTTTCTAAGTTTCAATTCAATTAAAATATTTGTTTAATTTGGAGATGAAAATGAGTTGTTAATTAAAATATTTTTTTAGTTTATTATTTGTTATAATTTTACATATTTATAAAATTTTATTTAATATTTTCTAATTTTTAATTATTTTTATGATTTTTGGATTTCTGAGTTTGTAAGATAATTTATTAAATTTAGAGGTGTAGATGGATAGTTAGGCTTCGTTTGAGATAGTTTTCTTACTGCTTTCTAAGGCAGTTTTTTAATACAAACATTTTTTATCTGAAAATTTTCGTACTAGAAAGCTACTTTAGAAAGCATTAAGAAAGTTGTCCTAAACGTCGTCGTAATTAAAATATGTACTTAGTTTGTTGTTCGTTATTGTTTCATGTGTTTATGAAAATTTTTTTAAGGTCTTTTTTTTTATTTTATTAGATTTTTAATGGATTTTCTGATGTCCAGGTTTATTCATTATCATTATTATCTTTCTTTCTCTCTTTCTAATATCAATTTAAACTTGTCTTTAATCTTTATGTTTAAATTTGACTTCATTAAATTTTAGATTATATTATATTAGTTCTATTTGTGTCACTTAATTTTATTTAATAGTTTAGGTTAGCTTTATATTTTATCTTGTGTTGAGAGTTATTTGAATTTGATGTTAGTTGTCTTGCTTTCTAGCTTTAAGTGTAAAATCCAATTTATTATGTTTCCCTCTTAAATATATATGTATCTATGTATATATCACTTGGTTTATTTCTTATTAATGGTTCTATTGTTGATTTGGCTCTTAGAAATAATTTATGCACGTCAGATGAGCTACGTGTCCAAATGGGTAAATGATTGTGAAATAGAAACTAACCTATCAAGTAGGTATGACGCTCCCGATTAAGATCCCATAGTTTCATCGTTTTGGGTTCGTCGTTGCCCTTAACATTCAAATTTAAGTTGAGTTATATCAAATATTAGTATTAAGTTTGCATCATTTGGGAGGTGCTAATTGAAATATTAAGAGATATCATCTTCTTGCACCTTATTTCAGATAACCTAAATTTGTTTAGTAAAACATTTTTTGAAGTAAAAATTTGAAAGTTGGAATATTTAAAAGTAAGAAAGCCTATGATTGGTTGAAGAAAGACTCATGGTACATGTCTACAAGATATACTGAATATGTGAAATTATAACTTGTCAATGAATAGTATTGGAAGATTGAGTGGTACAAACTAATAAATTTAAGTACATTAGATGTGCTAAATTTAAAAAAAAAAAAAAGAAATTTGCGTGAGGAGAACTAGGTGGGTATAGTAGAGACCGTCTTTAAAATATTGTGTAGATTGAAGATTTTATGTAGATTTAAAAGAAATTTTTTAATAATTGTAACTAAACTAGCAAAGTTATGTTTGATTTTGGCGATGAAAACAAATACACTAATGCACAAATAGAGCACCCTAAAATAACAAATTTGGAGTAAAACTTTGAAAAATAGAGTTGGAAATCATTATAGCAAAAATAGACATCAACTATCAAATTATTTGAAAAGAAATGAAAATTTCCATCAGAAAAATAGGTCATTTGATCTCTAACTCAGACAACCTATTTGAACAAGGGTGAAGGGCTTAAAAAAAAAATGTTACCTCTGGCTCATACACATTACCACTGGCATTCCATGCAATGCTATCGTACAATAAAGAATATACTGAAGAAGATAACTCTTGGCCATTATCCGGAGAAGTTAGCTTTACCCCGCCCACATGAGCTTCCACAACCGTCATCTGAATCATTACCACAAAATAAATTAGAACTTAAGATGAACATGTATAATAGGATAACATATATGATTAATCTACCCAACTCCAAATAACAGTGTCACACTCTAGAAATCATCAAAAGCCAAACTATCTAATTTCTAAAACTAAAATCCAAAGGTAAATTAAAAAATAATAATAACAATAATATGCTGGAAGAATGGACAATGATACATGATTCAATGTTAGAATTTCAGTTTTATCATTGCAGATGGTAGTGGTAGATACAATTGTTTCGCAAGATGATAGCCCCCGAAGCTGTAACGTAGCCTTTATAATAGTTGAACGTATGTATTCTAGTTTGATAAAGAGAGAAGCATACCAATGCTTTGTTTGCCATCATCTTCTTCATTGAGTAGGTAAGACTGAAATTGGGAAAATCAATTAACCATGAGAATCATGAAGAACTTGACGTCATATCATCAAGAAAGGAATAAAATCAACACTTACATCAATGTAACAGCCAATGGAAGACCTTCACGTACAACAACAACCATAATAGTCACCTATTTATAATTCACATGCTAATTAGTAACTAGAATAATAAGATCCAAGTCTTTCATATGGATACATACAGCACAGTCAAAATCTGAACAGCTCCATCTACAGCATCTTTCACACATGTATGCCCCTTGACAAATTGAACACTTCTATCAAAATTCTTTGTATGACAAGTGAAGAATTTGTAAATTATATCACAAGTCTTTAGTTTGCAAGATCTAAAATTGAACACATGTAAATTAAATCTTGGGTTCATGTTGTCAATCATAAGGACAACAAGAACCAACGTGGCAACAGAGAGCCATACTATGCCAGTAAAGCAGCAACACCATTCAAGCGCACCTTTACAGAGGAACCATAAATGAATCACATAGGAAAATTAGTATAATCATAAGCAAATCATTAATAAAATGGGCCACAAAAAACCTATAATGGAGTTTGTTCACCACTGCCTTTCGATATACTAGCCATCAATAATCCCCATTCAATATTGATCCCCACAGCAGTCACCTGCACACAGAATAATTTAGACGAGACACATAAGCAAGCAAAAATAATAACAAAAAAATACATTAAGAATCAATACAGGTGATATAACTTCCAAAGCATAATTACATCTAACTTTGCTTTATGTACTCAGTTTATCAGTGAATCAAAAAAATGAATGCCACTCAAGGAAATTTCGACGAATCAGTCCGAATCACTAACCAATTTAATCGATTCTCAAACATATCATTTTTTTAATATCGACAAAGTCAATGCATTTTGAACGCATTTTATATGACATTATAAATAAGAGTGATGTGATTGACATACAAGAATATGTTGGGCATTATATATTTATAATGATATATATAATATAGATCATGTTAAAAATTCAATGATTTGATCGGGTATAGAGGGTAATTCTCATTCTAAAAATAGAGTTGCTTTTTCTATTGTTATAGATTATTACCACAAAAGATGTCCTTGGAGTATCAAAGGGAAAAGCTTCTAATAGTAAAAATAGTTGGTGGTGGAATCCTAATGTGCAAGAAAAGATAAAAAATAAGAAGCTTTGTTATAAAAATTGGTTTAATTTTAAAAATTCTGATAATTGGGAAATATATAAAGTTGCTCGTAAGAAAAATTGGTTTAATTTTAAAAATTCTGATATTTGGGAAATATATAAAGTGGCTCGTAAGGATGCTAAGAAAGCAATATGCGATGCAAAGTCATTAGCTTTTAGTGATTTATATAATAGATTATATACTAAAGAGGGAGAAAGATATATGTATAAGTTAGCTAAACAAAGAGATAGGAGTAGTAAGGATTTAGTTCAAGTGAAGTGTATTAAAGATGAAGATCAAAAAATACTTTTCTTAGAAGATGATATTCAACAAAGATGGATGAGATATTTTGCTAAACTTTTTAATAAAGATTGTGAAAATAAGATTGACTGTAGTGACCTTAGCACCCTAAATGAAGAGAGTTCTTGATAAGAAAGGAGTCAATAATGCTTATATTCAAATCATTAAAGATATGTATGCAGGAGCTATTACTTGTGTTCAAACACAAGGTGGATTGACCAAGTATTTCCCTATTTCGGTTGGGTTACATCAAGGATCAGCCTTAAGCCCATATCTTTTTGCTTTAGTCTTGGATGTTCTCACTAGACATTTGCAAGAGGATGTACCTTGGTGTATGTTTTTTGCTGATGATATTCTTCTTGTTGATAAGACTAGAGAGGGAGTTGAAGGTAAACTTGAATTATGGAGGTCAACCTTAGAGTCTAAAGGTTTTCGCTTGAGTAGATCTAAAACGGAATATATGGAGTGTAATTTTAGTAGTAATAGACCTACTGAAGGGATTGTGACTTTGGGCGATCAAGTCATTAATAAGAGTACACGTTTTAGATATCTTGGATCAATTGTTCAAAGTGATGGTGAATAGATGGGGATATTATCAGCAGAATTCAAGTTGGATGGTTGAAGTGGAGGAATGCATCGGGCTTGTTATGTGATAGAAATGTACCCCTCAAACTTAAAGGAAAATTCTATAAGATGGTAGTGAGGCCTGCAATGCTTTATGGTGCCGAATGTTGGCCATTAAAAGAGAAGCATAATACTAAGTTAAGTGTGGCAGAGATGAGAATGCTCAGGTGGATGAGTGGCTTTACCCTTAGAGATAGGATACGAAATGAGCATATACGTGAAAAGGTTGGAGTAGCTCCAGTAGAAGATAAAATTAGAGAGAGTCGCCTTAGATGGTTTGGTCACATAAAACGACGGCCTTTCGATGACCCGGTTAGGAGAGTAGAGGTATTAGATTTGACTTATGTTAAGAAAGGTAGGGGTAGACCTAAAAAGACTTGGTTAGAAAATATTAGGAATGACCTTTCTTTATTAGGTTTAAATGAGAATTTGACTTTTAATAGAACACAATGGAGAAAAAGGATTCATGTAGCCGACCCCACGTAGTGGGATAAAGGCTTGATGTTGTTGTTGTTGTTGTAACCGAGGATAGCTCCATTTGGTTTGGAGTTGAGAGAGAAAATAAAAATGAAATGGAAAAGGAGATATTAAAGAACATGAATTGAAAATAGCTTGTCACATTTGTTTGATGGAGGAGAAAATGAACAATCATGTAACTCATGCTTGGGTTTTACTTTAGCTTTTCCTTGGGTTTCAGCAAAAGCACATAAGAAATACATAAGTTAGAATTTCTTTCATAAAATTAATTTTTTATGTATCAAAATTAAACCAAAATGATCAAATTTAACTATGATGTAAAAAATATTTCTTATCAATTTTCTCCAAAGCAAAAGCAACCTATATAAAAAAGAAATAAAGAAATAAGCAAATGAAATAACAGTGTTTCATCTAGCTAGAAAAAGTGTGTTACCCTAATACTAACCTTCTTCTCAGTCTATAGCTTTTGAATGACATATCCAATATCTTTAAGTCTTCATCAGCATGGGTTCATCGTGGCTATACTTATTTGCTTGGCTCCTAAAAAGATGTGCAAATAATTAAACAAGAAGCTCAACAAAACAAAACAAAACAAAAATGAAGTTGAAAAAATAAAATTAAATAATGTGTTAATGGTTTATTACTTTGGTTTATGTGCTCCATCAATCACTCTCAAATTTATCATCTTGAAATATAACTCATCTGGGTTCCTGGACAAGGCTTACTCTCCAAGTATCTATAAAACCAAGATATCCTCAAATCTTATTAGTACCCTTTTTTTTCCTAATAAAAATGTTGTTATAAATCTTATCTTATTATCTTATCTTATTAAATCTTATTAGTGCCCTTGCTGATACATATGTGGCCATTATACTATAGAATATTACTGCAAAAACCCTACATGAAGAGTCTCTTCTTTCTTATGGAATGACTTAGCTCTCACCACATGATCGTTGTGCTTCTCAGGAAGTCCAAACTTCTTTCTTGCTTGACTGAAGATATAGTTCACATAAAGGAAAAAAAAAACACTTCAAGCTTTTTTACATAATTTACATGAGCTAATAAATAAGTAAATAAATAATCAAGTGGGTGTTGCAATGCTTACGATTGTGCCCATTTCTTATATACTAGTATCGAAGTTGCGGTACTAAGTGAAGATATCATCACCACCACACCAAGAGATTCCACACAAAACACCTCTTCTCCGAATTGTAACAAATTAATGTTGTTTGGTAGTAGGATTTAAGCAAGATTTAACTTAAGTATCACCGAATAGAAAGAATTAATTAAGTGTTTCGATGAATTAAAAAAAAAAAGCATAGAATTTCCAATCCTGAAGAAGCATTCAAGGAGAAAAAGGAGAAAACAATCTTTACCTTCTCAGCGAATTCTCATCGTGACTTCCAATCTCGTCATGACTTTCGATTTAAACAACTCAGTTACAATTTTTCCTCTTAAATGAGTAAATCAATTTTTTTTTACATGCATTTTACCTTTGAGGTGAGTGCTAATTTTAAATTGATGTAACGAGTAAACACGATAAAGGAGTAATAAGTTATATATGAAGGGTTATCTCAGAAGGAATCCATATTTCGTGGCTTGTAATGGCCTTGCTAGAGATTTTAAGAATATTCTTATTTTTATGTTTTTTAAGGATCCAAAAAATTTTATATTCTTACATACCTATACTTCTACCCAACTACATTGTTATCTTGTGTCTTATTTTAGCTTAATATCAACACTAATGATAAGGAGTTGTCCAGCACATGACCTAGAGTTGGCTACAATAGTGTTAGCTTTGAAAATCTAGAGGTATTATTTATATAGTGTGAGGTGTGAAATATTTAGCGATCACAAAAATTTAAAATATATTTTTACAAAATTAAATATGAGGCAACAAAGATTATTAGAATTAATCAAGGGTTATGATCTTAATATCCAATACAGCCCAATGTGGTGGCTAATGCATTGAATAGGAAATTTAGTGGACATGCCAATCGGATGCTAATTTACAACAATAAATTCAAACATTTGACAGTATTACAATTAAAAGTGATTAGCTAGAAGGATCAAATCCCTAATAACTTATATAAAATGATAGTACATCTGACTTTGTATGAAAGAGTTCGATAGGCGGATGAATCCAGTGGGGAATATCATAAGCTAATGTATCAAATTTAATTAAGATAAAGGCAAGATCTCATCCTTGATGACCAAGCATCGATCAGAAGGGACATCTTTGGATACTAAATTAGGTGGATTAGTTGTTGATATGCGTGCTCATTGGTTTGAAATTTTTGGCATAATTAACATATTAGCTTACATATATGCATCCTTATATCAGTTGAAATTTTGAAAGAAATAAAAGTTGAAGTGATTTAAAAAATAATCTAAATTTTAAATGTCATAAACGAATTTTGTTATTTAGTAAATTCTAAATATTATTTTTTATTTCAAAGAAACCACATCTACCTCTCCTAAAAACTGCCTAAATATCTACAATTAATAGTCCAGTACCTGACTTTAATCAAATTCAACGACTTGTCGAAAACACTTTCAACTAAGTAGTTCAAAGCCAGTTAATAGACCTCTTCCTCATATTATCGATGAAAAATTTGCCATGTGGTATCACACCTTTTTTTCCAAAAGAATATAATTTCACTACGTATTTTCCAACCAAAGGCACGATTCGAATGTCAAGCTTTTGAAGATGCATGAACATTCTAATATTGATGATCAAAGAGTTCATGAATCTTTTTTAAAATCTCTTTTTTTGGGAATAACCTCTACATCAAAATCATTAAATAATTAGAATATGTTAAAAATTCATTAAATTAAACAAAACAGACAACCTATATAAGAAATAATACAAAAACAACTTAACAATAATAATAAACCTGAGAGATTGAAACAATAGTAAAACTCAAAAGAATAGATAATATTTTGATAAACAAAAAAGCAATACTTATCCTATTTTATGAGCTGTCTTGAATATCCCTATAACATTAGCAAGTTCTGCCTCCAATTCATTTTTCTTCAACTAAAAAGGAAAAGTTAAAGTTAAGAAAAATATAAAAAGATATAAGGAGATTTTCACATAAAAAGAAGTGAAATATTGGAATATCAACCAAATACAATAATTAACATTACCTTAGTATCACACCTTTTTTACAAAAAGAATATTTCACTGGGCCTTTTCTAACTAAAGGCACGATTCGAATGTCAAGCTTTTGAAGATGCATGAAAATTCTAATATTGATGATCAAAGAGTTCAATAAGCATTTTCAAATTCTCTTTTTTGGGGAATTACATATGCATCAAAATCATTAAATAATTAAAATATGTTAAAATTTCATAAATTAAACAAAAGACAACATACATAAAAAATAATACAAAAACAACTTAGCAGTAATAATAAACCTGAGAGATTGTTACATGGCATCTATAGCAAGCACAGCTGTTTTAAAAATATCATTTTTAATTGCTTTCTCCATAGATTCTTGGAAATGATCACAAAAATATATATATATTTTATCAATAAAATTTACAAAAAATTTAGCAGAACAAAATAAATGATAAAAAATGATCAGAAAGAAAAAAACTGCTACTACAACATTTAAATATGCAATGAACTATATGAAAAAATAAGGAATTTGAAAATTAATCCCGTCGAAATCCGACAACATTGAATTTTTCACTTAAAACTCGTCGCGGCGCTTTGAAAAGCGTGCGAGGTCTAAAACAGCATTTTCGGGTTTTCACAGAAATGACCATAAATAATCATACAAATGATTTTGAATATTCTATGAAAATAAATTTAGTTGTATTTTAATTGACCATTTCATCATCATTCACTTTATCCCAATTATCTATGAATCAATATTTTCTATTCACTCCAGCAAAGTATTGCCTAAAGCATTAAATCTACTCTTCGCAAACTATTTTAAAACAACTTCTATCCATATCACATTGTCAACCCCTTCACATTCCTAATCCTCAAATATAGTACTCTTCTAATGGATATATTTTATATCTTTTATTCTACATTCCTAACTACACAAGTTTATTTTCAATAACCTTACCTTGAATAGATATCCATTATGTTAATACAATCATTTCTTAATTTATCCCACTCAAGCTTTCCATAGATGCACCTTAATATTATTAGAGCTTTATTCCAATTATCTATAAATAAGCATTTTGTATTCACTCCAATTGAGTGTTGCTTGAAGCATTAAATATAGTCTTTGCACATCATTTTAAACAACTTCTATCCATGTTAAGGTCAACCCTTTCACATTCATAATCCTCAAATATAATTTATATACTTATCTAATGGGTGTATATTTTATATTTTATTGTACATATACTAAGTGTACAAGTTTCTGTTCAATAATATTATATTTAATATATATCACTATTCATTTTTTTAATATAATCATTTCTTAATTTATCCCTCTTAATGTTTTTCATGTACATATATTAACATTCTCATTTTTTGTCAAACTTCTTTTACTTATCAATACTTTTTTACTATCCAATAATCAAATCCCAACATCTTTAAACTTTTTATCACTTGGCTACATTATATATCATTTTCCTTCTTCTTTAGAATCATATTTGTTATAAATAAAAATATTGAATACTTCTATTTTGCACACTATACTTGTTTCAAGATTTAAAATATTATTATTATCATCATTATCCTATAGTAAAATTCAATTTTTAACACATTCTAAAGGCATATTTATTTTTCATGAAGATCTTAAAAACCTTCTCACTCACATCACCAAACACCCTTTTAGTCTACCATCTATTTATTAAAAATCTTTAAACCTTCTCACTCCCATCACCAAGCTCCCTTTAAGTCTATCATCTATTTATAGCCTCTTATGATTTATAAAATAATTTCTAAACATAATTAGTTATCATATCGCATAATAACTATGGTTCAATTAAAGAATATCAATTTGCCTCGCTAAGTAATCGGTCTTGAAAATTTAACAATATTGCACATTTCAAATTCAACCAAGTTATCCTAGAGCAATTAATTCTTTTGATTGTTTTCTTAATACAAAGATATACATTCATAACTACTATTATATATTTACTGTTTAAATCCTCCTAAAATTATCATATAATCTTTATAAGAAAAACACTCTCTAAAAGAATTTAATCTATGATTTGGTGGCTCTAATTAGTAAAACTAGTTGAAAATTAATATTCTTATCATTTTTTAAAGTATTTCAAGATCATAGGCTATTGTAATATCAAATATAATTTCTCCCATTGCATTTCTATGCCTTAATCAATATCCATAATGAATCCTATCATAGTTTATCTTACTAAAATACCTATATTCATTTTAAGTCAAACAAAACTATTTCTTCCTTAAGCATACGCATATTAGCAATTCATCCAACTCTTCCCCAAACTAATATTTGAAACTTTTTTTCTAATAGAACATAAGTATAAGCACTAACCATATTATAATATTATTATGATAATTATCTTAAAAACAATCACCATATCAATAATTTTATTCACTGAACACTTTTAAATTGCAAGGATCTATATAATACTATCATTGCTCAATTCTTATTATCAACCTTTCCACCATATAATAACTTCTAACTTTTGTTTGAATTTTTTACCATATCCATTTAGTTGCTTGTAAATAAATAACATTTTCTTATTCTTCCATTAATTGTGCACAACATTATAGCCAATCATTTCAAGGTAAAATTTTGTGTTGAGCTGCATATAGCATCCAAACCTTTCAAATGCCAAGTTAGAAGCAACTCCTAAAAAAGTATGTTAATAACAATGATCATTTTGGGTCAAGCACATTCCAAACTAAAAGAATATGAACAAGATTAAAATCACTTCCTAATGAATATGAATAGGATTCATTATGGCTTAGATACTAAAAGCTAAAAACTATCTTTGCAATCACAAATAAGCCGATGACATTTCTTGCAAATCAAATGATAAAATAGTTTTTAAATTAACTCTTTAAGCACCAAGTTAACCTTTCTTAAATATTATATTTTAATGATTTAAAGTTATAAATATATGACTCAATATAGTTAAAATGTCAAAGTTAATCAAAAAATGGGATCAAGTATTGTAAATCTATTACATTAAATAACAAAAATATAAATTAGAAAATAACTTCTAGAGTTAAAACAAATTTAAGTTATGAAAGCACAATCTAATTTGTATTGAGTTATAATAGATTCTCAGAAAAACATAAACCAAATGCTATAGAACTACAATTAGCTCAACTATGTCATATAGATTTGAGTTTTAAGAGACAAAGAGTCACCAATAGCCAAAGATGATTGTGAAGAAATAAAAAAATTAAAGTACTTATATGATAAATTAACAAAAATATAATAACAAATGATTTTATATATTGGGCAAGCAAGTGTGTCTAAAATTACACTAATATGCAAGAAGATAGAATTCACTATGAAATGATAATGAAAGAAAAATAACAACATATAGTAAAAAAATTATAATCACACAAAAAAAATAAAAAAATAGACCTGACACTTAATGCTATAGAACTACAATTAGCTCAACTATGTCATATAGATTTAAGTATTAGGTGACAAAGAGTCACCAATAGGCAAAGATGATTGTGAAGAAATAAAAAAATTAAAGTACTTATATGATAAATTAATAAAAATATAATAACAAATGATTTTATATATTGGGCAAGCAAGTGCGTCTAAAATTACACTAATATGCAAGAAGATAGAATTCACTATAGAAGGATAATGAAAGAAAAATAACATATAGTAAAAAATTATAATCACACAAAAAAAGTAAAAAAATAGACCTGACAATTAATGCTATAGAACTACAACTAGCTCAACTATGTCATATAGATTTAAGTATTATGTGACAAAGAGTGAGCAATAGACAAAGATGATTGTGAAGAAATAAAAAAATTAAAGTACTTATATGATAAATTAATAAAAATATAATAACAAATGATTTTATATATTGGGCAAGCAAGTGTGTCTAAAATTACACTACTATGCAAGAAGATAGAATTCACTATGGAAGGATAATGAAAGAAAAATAACATATAGTAAAAAATTATAATCACACAAAAAAAACAAAAAAATAGACCTGACACTTAATGCTACATACAAAAATAATAATTGGAAGAGGTTTCATAAAGTTGGTCAAAATAATAAAGGAAAAGCTACTGATTATGATTAATAATTCAAAATTATGGCGAGAATTCATTATCGTAGAGTAAAATATCATATTAAATAAATTCAAGAAATCAATACTTTCCTACACTAGATCCATTAATATAGACTAAATAGTGAATAAATTTGAATAATGGAAATCATACTCAGCAACTTACAAAGATCAACCTCTAAAGAGTAAACTATACATATTGCGTCAGTCAATGTCAACAACTATCTCAACTCCCATCAGGCTACTTGGTAGATTGCGACCCCTAGTTGAAGCACTATAAATAGAAAATAACTTCAAGAGTTAAAACCAATTTAAGTTATGAAAACACAGCCTAATTTGTATTGAGTTATAATAGATTTTCAAAAAAACATAAACCAAATGCTACATAACTACAATTAGCCCAACTATGTCATATAGATATGAGTATTAGGTGATATAGAGTCACCAATAGGCAAAGATGATTGTGAAGAAATAAAAAAAGTTAAAGTACTTATATGATAAATTAATAAAAATATAATAACAAATGATTTTATATATTGGGCAAGCAAGTGTGTGTAATTAAAAATACACTAATATGCAAGAAGATATAATCACTATGGAAGGATAGTGAAAGAAAATAGCAGCATATAGTATAAAATAAAAATAAAAATAAAATGCAAAAAATAGACTTGACACTCAATGCTACCTACAAAAAGAATAAAGAGAAGAGGTTTCATAAAATTGGTCAAAATAATAAAGAAAAAGCTACTGATTATGATTAATAATTCAAATTTATGGTGAGAATTCATTATCGTAGAGTAAAATATCACATCAAATAAACTAAAGAAATCAGTACTTTCCTACACTAGGTCCATTAATATAGACTAAATAGTGAATAAATAAGATTAATGGAATCATACTCACCAACCTACAAAGATCTACCTCTAAAGAGTAAACTATACATATCGCGTCAATCAATGTCAACAACTATCTCAGCTCCCATCAGGCAACTTGGTAGATTGTGACCCCTAGTTGATGCACTAAACATAACTAATTGGCAATAAGAAGAGTAGGGAAGAACAATCGTATGCATTCATGCTCCATTGTGGAGGAGGCTAATAAAAGTTGCATGATGATTAGTATCCCTTATTCAAGAATTGGAAATCTATTACATTATGAAAATATAAAATAGAAAATAAATTCTAGAGTAAACCAATTAGGTTATGAAAACACAATCTTATTTGTATTAGCCTATAATAGATTATCATAAAAACATAAATCAAATACTATTGAACTACAATTAGCCCAACTATGCATATAGATTTGAGTATTAGGCAACAAAGTGTCACCAATAGACAAAGTTGATTGTGAAGAAATAAGAAAGTTAAAAGCACTTATATTATACATTAATAAAAAATATAATAACAAATGATTTTATATATTGAGCAAGCAAGTTTGTCTAAAAATACACCACTATGCAAGAAAATAAAATCTTTATGGAAGGATTATGAAAGAAAAAAAACAACATATAATAAAAAATTAAAAAATAAAATAAAATAAAAACACAAAATAGACTTAGACACTTAATGTTGCAACAACAAGAATAAAGGGAAGATGATTTATAAAGTTGGTCAAAATGATTAAGAAAAAACTACTGATAATGATGAATAATCCAAAATTATGGTAGTGAATACATTAGTAGAGTAAAATATACATCAAATAAATTCAAAAAATCAATACTTTCCCACACTAGGTCCATCAATTTCAACTAAAAAATGAAAAAATTAGATTAATGAAAATCATACACAAATGTGTTACTACACAAGGATATTATAAATCTACAAAGGATGGTTTTTTATTATCACAAATCAAACTACTAGTTAATTTTGTTCTTCTATGGTTTGACAAAAGAATTTACTAAATTCAAAAATGGGGACCATGAAAATCTTTACATTGTTGAATGATAAAGGAACCATCTGTTAGACTAATAGTGATATACTATATGTCTAAACTAAAGGGAAATACATGAAATTGGTAAGTAGATATATTAGCTTTTTAACACCAACAAAAAAGGCCAATGCTATCAATCTGAACGAAATATCTTTTTTAAAGAATAGTTTAAAAACATATTTTTTTGTTATTTTATGCAAGACATATTTTGCCTTGTCAATCTAAACAAAGTGTCTTATTTATCATGAAGGTGTACATCATATTGTTGTTAGAATGAAAAACGAACGTCATGCTTGTTTGCTTCAATGCTCAAAAATCAACACTAATATGAATATTATTGTAATGCTTTCTTGCTTACATTCGTCGGCTTATCATTCTATTTGATTCATTTTTGCCACCTTGTTATTTATTTTGAATACATATTGAAATTTGCATATCTAATCATAATGAGAATTACAATATCACCAACTGCATTTGCAATGCTTTTTTAACAGAATCGGCTTTGTATTATCATGATAATGTTTTCTATTCAAAAACATAGTTTGTCTCAACCCTATTCCTACTTTGAGATCAACCTTTAATTCTTTAGCATTTATGATCTCTATGAAGAAACCTCGAATAATATTTTAACTTAATAAACCATGTTGGATTCATGCAATTGTAATAGGTTAATTATGTCACTTAAAAAGTATTAATAATAAACATAATAAAATGAATAAAAAATAGGAATAATAAAAAAGTAGAATCAAAATAATTATTAAATATGTTTTATAATTAATTCAAATTTTCATTAAGGAACAATAATTAGCATTCGACTGGCTACACAAAAAATATTTTCTTTACTTATATCAGCACAAGTAAAGTTGAATTCTGCCTACTAAATATCAAAATAATGTCAATAAAGCTCCAAAACACTTACCTATCTTATCTAATCTAGATATGACATGAAACAACTATATAGACATTCATAAGATAGATGGACTAACCTGTTTTATAATAAATCTCAATGAGCTCAAAGACATCATATACATCACATTAGTACAAAATCTTTGATGCTAATAAGAAATACCATCGAAGAAAAATAAACAAGATGAATTAAAATCATATGTTCTAATGAAACAACATAAAGTGACAAATAATGCTAAAAATATCCTTCATGTTAATTTGGTATGCTAACTTCTTTTGGATTAAAAGACTTGCTTTAAAAAAAGGGCTCTTTAGAACAAGCAAAATATATTAAAGCATATAGCCAAATTAAAAATGAAAATATATGCCCAACAAAATGAACACCTACTTTTTTGAAGTACCTTGACAAATGAGTTAAAACAATAATATTGGATGCTTGTCCAATTATGGAAGAAACTTATACTTCGCTTGAGGTATAGACTCAATGCATTCACGGTATTTAAAAATAAAAAAAGCATAAGCTTCTTAAACTTTAAAAGCTTCAAACTTAAGTGAAAAGTGTGAGCTTCAAAGGTCAAAGCAAAAGCTCCAATCGCATTAACATTCAAGCTCATAGCTTCAAATTATTTTAGAAAAGCTTCAATTGGATGAAAAAAAAAATAAGCACTAGAGTGATTGTTCTTAAAAAAAACCCCACCCATTAAAAAGCGTCAGCTAAAGTTGCAAGAAACTTACGTATTTATGGCATCTTGTTTGCATGAATCGGTATAAGTATTGTTGTAGTATCTCTAAACATTCCTAAAAAATTCTGGAGACTAGGTAGCTACCTTCCATTGACTTCTTCTATCACATAATATCAGCAATTACATAACACAAGGAAATACATAATAAAAAATATAAATAACATCTGAATGTAGCTATGAGGACACAAACCTAATCAACAAAGAAATAAGCATACACATCTGGCCGAAACTAATGAAAAGAGTAGAGCAAGAGAACAACATCAATTTTTCAAATGAAGAAATATTTTTAGATAAGCAAATATGCTAAACAACATTTACTAAAAGATTTTTTACATCTAATCCAAACAAGTAAAAAGTGTGAAAATCCATAACATTATATGCTATGAATGCGTCTAAGTAAAAATCTGGTAGCAAAATCCATTGCAAGAACATGCCTTCTTATGAGCAACAAAATCACCATATTGTAAAGCAAATGTATCACAGCTTTTCTCATATAGGTCCATCACATCATCAGATAAAGGAGAACCCGAACCAATAATTGGAACATCAATAAACCCCAAAAGATGCAGCTGCTGGCAAAGGGAAGCTAAACCATAGGCAAAGTGGGCTACATTTTTTTGGTTGAGACAATCAATACAATTTGAATGAAGTAGACCATTTTGAAGCACAGATTTTTTTCCAGAAAACAAGTTTATTCCACAATGCTTTCTAATGTCTCTCTCGTAGAGAAAGTAGATTTCCCCTCAATAACTTTCTAGCACCGATCTCCAATGATGATAGAAACACAATCTTTTCTATAATTATTTATTGATCGATAGCAACCATCTCCACTCTTGTGATGCATGATATCTAAGACCAAGACTTCATTAGAACATTAAATTCATTGTCCCTAATCTCGTAAAGCTTAAAATGTGAAGTAGACTAAAAATATTTATATTTTTCTCCTCAATAAATGATGCTTTTATCATCTTCACGAAGCTAACAAAAACCTCAAAGATATGTCAGAGTAGTCACTAGTCAAGCCAGCTCTATCACTTTCTAGTATGCAAAACTTTAGCAAAATATGTGTTCATACATCACAAAAAATTATTGGGTGAACGTAGATAAGTGTAGAGCTTTCAATACCCCATCTTTAGATATATCATTGCAAAATTGTGTTGTGCTTAAACAGTTCAAGCACACATAAATACATGATCCAAAGAATAAGAGATTGCTTGTCTTGTTCACAATGGCATCTGAAAAAATCATGAAATTACCAGATATTCCTATAATATCGATTATAATTAAAAAAATAACTTTTCTTGAAAAGTGATTTGCAACCTTCAGCAACTTGAGGTGACAAGCAAAGATATGCCAAGAAAAAAAAATGATTACCATATGCAATTGTAAAACAGGATGGATTACGCATTATGAAATAAATTGAGGAATTCTAAAATAAAAAAGCATAAAACAACTATCAACAAAAAAAGTGTTAAATAATTACCCATAGCCTTGAGAGATTAAATATGATGTTCTAATAAGTCTTACAGCCATCAAAGATCCCAAAGAAGTGAGATGGAAAATATGTTCCTCATACCATGATATGCTGGGAAGCATCTAGAAATTAAAAAAAATTTACAAACAAAGTAATCATTTAAATGCAAAGAATTACGAAATCAAGAAGAATTAATGCATGTGTATAAAATTATTGTATAATTGTTTAGTATTTTTATTTTCTTGGATAGTACGCAGTATGTTATTTATGTCGTGCTAACATGAATTGCGGTCGTTGTATGAGAAAGGGAAAATAGCAAGATCTTCAAAATATAGAGAAACAACTTATAAAAATAAAGTCAAGCTAAATGCATAAGAAAATACATATCAGCTTATTCAAATCAGTTTGCACTAAAATGTATCTTAGATAAGCAGAATTTTCATTCACCAAAGAATAGAGCAAAAAGGCAGCACTCTCATAGGCCAAAAATCTATACATGAGACAATAGTAACTTAATAAATCAACTAGTTATTAGTAAAAAGAAATTCTTGAAAGCACCAGTAATAATTCAACATCATTTTATCAAGCTTAATACATAAAGGTTAGCATGTATTGTTATATGACTTTAAGTACAACAAAACAATTAAGTAATGTGAGGATTTAGAGAGTTTGGGTTTAAGTACATCATTTCATCAAGCTTAATGCAAAATGGTTAACATGTAATGTTATATATGACTTTAAGTACAACAAAAACAATTAAGTAATAGGAGGATGGAGAGTTTGGGAGAAAACCCTAACCCTAGGCCCCGCCCACCTTGATTTCTCACCGCAGCCACACTATGATTTCCCGTGTGATTTGAGCGTGCCTTAACCCTTCGGCTTCGAGACCTTCGGCGAGCACTGAGAGAGTTTGGGAGAAAACCCTAACCCAAGGCCCCACCCACCTTCGATTTCTCACCGCAGCCACACCATCGTTTCTGGCGTGATTTGAGCGCAGAGAGAAAGAGCGAGACGCTTCTTTGATTCCTTGGCCTCCCGCCTAAACCCTTCGGCTTTGAGACCTTCGACGAGGACAGAGAGAGTTTGAGAGAAAACCCCAACCCTAGGCCCCACCCACCTTCGATTCCTCACCGCAGCCACACCATCGTTTCCGCCATGATTTGAGCGGAGAGAGAAAGACCGAGTCGCTTCTTTGATTACTTGGCATGGCCTAAACCCTTCTCCTTCGGCTTCAAGACCTTCGGCATCGAGAAGAAAGGAAAGAAAGAGAGTCCGTTTGTTCATCTCAGTCGCACTCTTAAATTAATTTGTCTTCTGCTCCCGTTGTTTGACCTAAATGCCCTTATAGCCGTTACTTACCTCTACAATATTCGTATATGCTAAAAAAAAATTACATTTTATATATCCCGAAAAAAAAATATCTTCTACCGTATATTTTAATAAGTGAACTATTAATTAGATAAATAATAAATTAATATGAATTCATATTTTAGAATTTTAAATTAAAAAAATTTATTTAATTATTGAATTCAATGTTATATGTATAAATATATAATAAAAGAGTATGGATTAACGTCATTAAATATAAATAAGAAATATATTAATTTCCATAAATTATTTTTAATGAATTGATTTATAGACTATTTAATTAATCTCATTTGATAAAATATTCTTTTGATTTTGTTATAGAAATAATATAAGAAGAAAAAGAACTTATGAGAAAAATTTTGAAGATAATTTAAGAGAGTTTCATAAAAAATTAAGGTCACATCTAAAAAAATTAATGATATATCTATACTACTATATAAAAGTGGCTTGGGATTTCACTCATAGCAAATCTTTATCGTTAATCTATAAATTTTAAATTAATCTACAACGTCCATATATGACTCTTCAAATTTTATCATTTATCACTTTCTATAAAACATTTATTAATTCATTTATTTACTGCAACTCTTAATCATTCATCTATAAATTGTAAATTAATCTACAACGTTCATATATATAACTCTTCAAATTATATCATTTATCACTTTTCATAAAATATTTATTTATCAATACTACTATTATAAAATGGGCTTGACTTTCCTTCCACATCAAATCTTGACCATCCATTTTAATTAATTTTAATTATTCAAATCAAATTTCAATATTTTATTTTAATTATTATAATATAATTATTTTATTAATATCAAATATACTACATTAATTATGAAATTACTTTTGCATTTTGGTTTTCGTAAAAGTAAAAGATAATTCTTTCAACTTCGGTTCATTAATTTCAATTTAAGTTTAATCAAACTTCAATAATTTATTTAAAAAGTTAAAAAATAAGAAACCGGAATGAACGGCAAAGTAATTTAATTTGCGACGTTGCAAGTAGCAGCACTAAAAGAGGCAATTAAGGCTACAAACGTACATCAAACTGTAAAAATAAATGGATCTTTTAAACAAGTAATTAATTAGAGGTTTGACTTATTAATGCATTATGAACAAGGTTGTGAAAACCGGACCGGACAACTTACCGGAAGAATGAGAGGTTCATGGTTCGACCGGTCGAACCAGGGTCGAACCAGATAACGTAATAAATAATAATATAATTAAAAGTAATAAAATTAACATAATAATAATGGCAATTTATTCTTAAAAATTTAATAATTCTAAGATTTTTTAGACTAAAAAATAAATACAATTTATACATATATAATATATTACATAATTTTAAAATGTTGTGTTGTTTATATACCTTTCTTTGTACCCATGGGTTAAGAGCTCATGGTATTATGGCATCATATAAGCTAGATAATTTATATTTAATTTAGTATATAATATAATAAAATTTTTAGAATCATTTAATTAAATAAAATATATGATATTTTAAAGTAATTTAATATTTTATATAAAAAATATTTAAATATATTATTAGTTGAACCGGCCGTTTCTTAAGAAACGGACCGGTTGGCCGGTTCAACCAGCGGTTCAAACTGGTTTTGACCGGTTCGTTATCAGCCCGGTTCTTAGAGAAGACCGAACCGACCGTAAGACCGGTTCACGGTTGAACCGGTCGGTCCGGCCCGGTTTTCAAAACCATGATTATGAATAAGCTTTATGTTGAACATTAATAAAATTAATTAAACAAAACGTTTTCACTACCAAGCGGTTATGGATGTGTCGAATGCAGCTTCTCATCTCCAACCGAGCTCTCTTCTTCTTTGCATCCGAGCATTTCTTTCTTTTCATAGTTTTTTGCTACAAAAAGCAGTTTTACATGCCCCTGTCCTCATGACGTTGTTGTACCGCGATATCTAGCACTCGCTCGTCATCTATGAGCTATGCCTCTTCTACATCATTGCTTATTTGGGTAATCAAAGCTGGTATCTGGCAGCTCTAAGATGCATGTTTTTTTATAAAAAAATTGTTTATTATCCCATTTACTCTTGTTCATTATGCTAAAGATTATCGAAATAACCCGTATGAGCAGAAGAATGAATTTTGCTCACCCTCCCTTTTTCAAACTGTTGGGAAATTTCTATATGTGGGCCAATATATTTTATACATATAAATAAAGAATTATACATTAGACACTATCTAAAATTAAGCCAATTAAATTTGTGATCTATTTAAGTATTAAATAATTATTTGGCTTATGTGGCATCTCATTTAAATTTTGTATGGAATTAATTTGTGTAGAGGCCGTGTATTTATTTTATTTTAATGATGGGCTGAAATAAAATATTTACACTTAAAGTATAAAAGGGTCGTGGTCCCCAGTTTAAGCGATGTAGTTCTCATTTCCCTCATTTCCCATCTTGAGTGAAAAGAAGGGGTCTCTCGCTCTCTTGGAGAACGCCGCTCTAAACGTGGAAGATCGAAAGACCTTGATTCTGCTTTTCAATGGATTCAGGTACGCTTCTGAAAATTCTTCTCGATGATTTGGCATGTCGCTCGGAGACGATCGATTTGTTATTTTCGTCTCCATTAAATCCTAACAAGTGGTATCAGAGCCCGGTTATCATGTTGAATCAACGAGAAATGATTTTCTATAATCATGTTATTGATTAGTTTTGTTTTTCGATCACTAGAAATCTTCTTTTGAGAATGATTTTTCCGGTCAAAATAAGTTCTCTTTCTTTTGAAAATTCTGTTTCATATATGTGAAATAACTGTTGACTGAAGTTCCTTGTTCCATTGATTTTTGAACAAAGGATTCAGTAATCAAATGTGCTCTTTAATCGATGGATTTCGATTATGCAATTGGTTCTTCTTCTCCGTAAAACATGTCAGTTATGCTTTGGCTTTATTTTCCAAACGTCACAACCATTGGGTGAAGAGTTCCTATGTTAATTTTTACATTGCAGTTATAATATAACTTCCATTGTTATTGTTTTTTTTAATAGTTCTGGAATTTTGCAAATGAATTATTTAGTTCATGGAAGTATTTGAATAGACGCATCTATTGGCTACATTAACGTCTCATTTTAATTTTGACGTTTTTAATGTAAATGTTAATTATTTAACGCACAGCTGGCTAGTTCAAACCGGAATTGAAAATGAGTCTATACTTTTATAACTGCTTGTTCCTTGATAAAGTTTTCTAGAACTTTGATGCTTTGTAAATCGATACAAGCCATTAGTAATTAATTTATTATATCTCCATATTATATTTCCTGTGTTGGATTGAGTGGCTTTTGATTTCTTCTTGCAATAAATGAGAGATACTTATCTTAATTTTTTATGAGAATATTTCTCATTTGATATTATTATTTATTAATTTGAAATTAAATTAAATTGAAATAATATGTCACCAAAGTGATCTCTATTAAATCAGTTTATTTAATTTTAAAATTAACTGAATAATGCTAAAGAATTTTCAAGTCTATGCGAAAATTAATCGGCCCAAAGGAAGATTATTTTTTGGCCGGACTTTAAAGATATGGTAATAAATATATGATAATTTTTTGAATTATTTATGCATATAATAAGTCGGTCCAAAGAAA